CATCATCATCATCATCATCATCATCATGCATGGTTGATCTTCATTACTATTTCATTGAATCAACCATTATTAATAATAAATGAGATAATGATAATTATAATCAAAGTGATGATTTTAATGATGACGTTAATTATTAACTTATTATTAGTTATTAATTTCATTAAAATTATCATTATGACGTCATTATTCATCTTTATTGTCATCATCATCATATTGCTTCCTCATCATTATCAGATCTTTATTTATCAGTAAGACGACATAAAAGCGCGCGCCCATGGCAATATAGACACACGATAAAAAATGTAAAGAACGATTAACAAGCGAAAGATTGGCACGAGGCGAAGCCAAGTGACACTCTAGCTTGTTAAGAGTTCATATTTTCTCAAGTGCGTTCTATATCACCATGGGCGAACGCTTTTTTGTCGTGTAACTGATTTATAATATGACCAAAAATCTACCGTGCGACCCATGGGCAAATAGTTCATAGGCATTTCAGCCAATCAGAGCGTGCGTTATATCACCCATCTCACTTGTGTGCGCGCTATTGACGCCATCGGATTTGAAAATTTAGAGAAAAAAGGCGAGCGTCCGTTGAGATCAGCGTGCGCGAGCATGCAGCCCATGGGGAGATAGTTCATTGGTTTTTGGCCAATCAGAGTGTGCGTAATAATCTAGTCATATTATAATAATCATTATGATCATCATCATTGATTAACATCATCATAATAGACCTTGTTAACTTAGTATGCAAATTGCCAATTTCAGATCAGGACATTCCCTTGAGAATTGTTCTTTTATGATGAACTTGTTAAAATATTTATACATTAAAGAATCAACTCCCAGGAGTGGCATCACACGGTCTGAAATGGAACAATAAACAACGAAGCTAAAGAAGTCTAATAAATTATCATCATTATGACATTATTGATCTTTATTATCATAATCATCATCATTCATCATCAATCATTATTTTTTCTCTCACCATAGTAACTCATTCTTTCACTGTGATTGTTGTTGACAGGTTGGACAGTACTGACTCACCTATTGCACCAGGGTACAACTTTAGGTAAGGCTAAAATAATTTATCAACATCAACTTTAGAAGTTATTAAAACTTAGAAATTGGAAGTGAATGAGTCCATATATTTGATTACTAAACTCATGATTTTTGTGTTTATATTTATTTTTAAAAAGTTGGGATTCTTGTTGTGAAAAGCTATGCATTTAAAACTTAAGTCGCTAGCAAACGTTTGACTTTAGCCAGCAGAGCAAAATTCATAGCTGCATTCATTTAGTTAACAACAGGGACTGCTTATTACTACATAGAAAATAGGCAATTTTTAATCAAAAATAGCTGCAAAATTATTGGGGGGGGGGGGGGGGGGGGGTTATGGCTCCCCTTCCCATCCCTTCAGCTCGGCAATCCCTGAACAATAGGAAGTTTAACTTGAATCAACCAGGACAAACAGGTTTTCAAACTGATTCTTTATTTACATTCCATTGTGCTTGGCATTGCTGTTTTCTCTAGGATGTGATATACTTTCTACTGTGGTGATGATGTGTGCATGAAAATCCTTTTTGTAGACATGCTCACCTCCTTGTCCCAGTCAGTTGCTCATCACTTGTTAAGGTCAAGTCACACTTACAGGCCATGAACCCCTAAAAGTTTTAGAAGTGATAGATAATTTTAAAGATGTATAAATTCATTTTATGGATGTTTTACAGATTTCCTCGATATTTTATACAAGATGGTAAACTTCACAGAACACTATTCAAAGCATATGGTATTCGCTTTGTCATGAGTGTATATGGAAGGGTATGTTTTAAAGAAATGTAGTAAAGATATAGGTTGTCTTTGCTCATATACAGTATTAGTATTATTTGTAATGTTGTTTGAAAGTATAATAGTAAAAAGAAAGGTTGTTTTTGCTCTATAAAACATGTACTGTATTATTTTTGTCTTTAGGGAGGAAAGTTCAGCGTAGTTCCATTRTTTTTAAATATTGGCTCAGGATTGGCCCTTCTTGCCATTGTAAGTTGCATTTAACTTTTTCTTTGTCAACTATTGGCCACATCTTTCCTTTTCCATCAATGGCTAGACCTTTCCTTGTCCATGATTGGCTAGTTATTTCCTTACATGATTGTATAAGTCTTTCCTCGTTTCTCATTGGCTAGTTCTTTCCATGTACATGATTGGCTAGTTCATTCGCTGTACATGATTGGTTACTTCTTTCCATGTACATGATTGGCTAGTTCATTCATTGTACATGATTGGTTACTTCTTTCCATGTACATGATTGGCAAGTTCATTTATTGTACATGATTGGTTACTTATTTCCATGTACATTGTACATTGTTTTTTCATTGTGCATGTTTGGCTAGTCCATTTTTTCTTTATCAGATTCCATTTTCCTTTTTTTCCAGGCTACTGTTCTTTGTGACATAATAGTACTTTATGTAGTGCAAAAACGAAACTTATACAAGGAGAAGAAATACTTGAATGTAGATGATACACAGATCCAGGTTTGTTATAAGACATAGTAAGTTGTTTTAGTCAGTGAAGGAAGATGGTGACATTAAACTTAGTAACAGTGCAAGAGATGGCAATAGTGATGATCTAAAAGTATGCAAATCAAGAATTTTTTATTGCTTAAGCTGGTTGGGTTTGAATGCTGTGTGTCCTCTCCTTTCCCTCCCCTCCCCCCTACACATTCAAACACCGCCCTGCTGGTGCAAAGGTCAAATACTTGTACTCCTAGTTCTGAACAGAAATCGAATTGACTAGCTATAAAATTACCTGTAAGGGTAGCAGGAATATAAAAAATTGCACAAGTTTAATTTTAAAAGATTTGATTTCTAACTTTCAAAATAGTTTTGAGAGTGGTCTATAGAGTACATCTACTTGCAAGAAGGTTGTCATACAAGAATAGAACATTAGTAATTTAGTTTGAAAGGAATACATTAAAAGACAAAAGAAAAACTTCAGTGACCTTCTTTTATTTTTTAATATAATTCCAATCCCACTAAATCACTGTTCTATTTTCGTATGACAACGTTCTTGCAAGTAGGTGTATATGTTATAATAAGATTTCAAGATTTTCACTAACAGCCTTGTTTTCTCTCTAGATTAATGATGATGGTTATGACGATGTTGAACCAAGAGGTTCAAACTACAAACAGTTCAAGTAGAAAGGTTGATAGGGTTAATGTTTAGTCCAATATTGGGATAGCTTGAGCCCAAGATGCAGTAATAAGCTATTAGGTATAAATGTATAGACAAAATAGTTATGATATTTAATGTTTTTCACTAAACTTTTATATTTCCTGGATACCTAAGCTGAGGACCCCAGGAAATGCTGGAGACTGTGATTGGTTGGGTTGGGAACCTTTTTCCAATAAACACCCAGTTTGGGGATCACAAGAAATCATAGGGTAATGGGTGGAAAATGGCTTGAAATCCTAGGTCCTGGGGATCAGGTGAAGTGGGGTCCTCAAATGGCCCTTAAATTAAGGAGGCTCTGGGTAGTTTTGGTCTGGCACACCTAGCCGCATTGAAACGGCTACAACTTCATCTTGAAAAACTCGATCTGCAAGCGCTTTTCACACAATGTCAGGATAGGATTAAAATTTTCAAAAATGATAAATTAGTTTAGTAAAAGTAGTAATAGTCCACGAAAATATTCATCGCGTAATATTGCCAGACCAAAACTACGCAGAGCAATGGGGAGGCAATCATGAATGGTTACCCTGGGTCAAGAGAGTGTTTAGCTTATAACTTTTTAGTCATAGGTTTCCGTTCTCATGATCACAATGGATCAAGCAACTGAGAAGCACTAAGAGAGAGAAAGAGAGATTCTCTCCTGGGGTGGGGGGGGGGGGGTACTCCCCCAAACAGGGTATGGTTTTCAGCGATTCTAATCTGGAACAGGGTATATAAATTCGCGCTCGCTCTGGAACAGGGCATATGAAATCACGCTCTCTCCTCTCTGTGGCTCTGGAACAGGATATCTATTTTCGCAATACCGGAACAGGGTATGGTTTTCAGCGATCTTGCTCTGGAACAGGGTATGAATTTCACCGATTTTACTCTGGAACAGGGTCAGGGTTCAGAGGGCTCAGCAGCACATCCCTACCCTAAACAGGCAAGAGTACCCCCCCCCCCCGGGGATTATCTAAAACTAAGGGTGTTTTTAAGTTGAAAGAAAAAAAACCAAAATAAATCAATCAATAAACAATGGAAATAGTCTACCAAAATCAACTATATAGACTGATATTAGGTTGAAGAAATGTTATATAACTAATAGACTATAAATATTGGTATTATCATTAATCTTATTATATTGATTATAAATTTGGAGATTTGAGAAACTAAATTATCAATTATTAATGAATTCCAATAAATACTTAGAAATATTTAAATAATTAATTCATTGCACCTAGAGCTGCTTATTCAAACCCTAGAACGTTTGCACGATGGCGTCATTGACCTCTACTACCAGACTCCCTTGCACACTTTCTTTTGTTAAGTTAATTAGCACTAATTGCCTTACTATTCTCATGAGGGAATACAAATTTGAATAAGAAAGAAAATTCGCGAAGCATTGTGGTAGTAGGAGTCAAATGACGCCATCATGCAAACGTCCTATTCCATTCTTAGTACATCATGGATTGTGGTCGATAGTGGTATCCATCTTAAAGGAATTGGGATTTAGTACTGGTGTTGTCTGTAATATTATTSTTTATAAAGATTAATGAACTTTGTGACTATAATACTCCATCAAAAATGCTTCTCATTTATTGTAAGTTGAGTCCAATTTTGAAAATATTCCTGCATTCAAATCATGTCTTTACTTCTAATTCTTTTTAGAATCACAATATCTTGGTTTTACCATTTATCAAAACTAGCCTGTATATCAGCAACGTGTGCCCTGATTGGATGAAATGATATTTTAGTTGGGAGTATCTAAGATGTTAACATTATTTTTTCTTGTGCTCGCTTTGAATAATTTCCCTGCTAGAAGAGTGAACACAAACTGTAGCCTGGTTGCATCCGAACACAACAGTTTGGGTTTGGATACAAGATTCGTCAACAAGGGAGACTTCCGGGAGGGGGGAGGGGCATGGAGGTACTCCCATATATGGACTATACGGGGATGGTCCGCTGAACAGGGTATGGTTTTTCGAGCTTCTTGTCATAAACAGAGTATGCAATTTCACTCAAGGTCCAAGTTCTTCCTGAGTTTCCTGTCATATTCAGGGTTTCTACTTTCGTATTGACCGAAACTGGTTATTATGGTCGTAAAAAAAAACGATACACGAGATGACATGATAATTGAAACAGGAACTCAGTGCAATAAATTATATCTTTTGTCATAAACAGGGCCTAAAAATTTGAGTTTTTTTGTCATAAACAGGGTACCCCTTTCAGAATCCCAGCGGAACACCCCTACCCAAATTCTGGTGGAGTAACCCCCCCCCCGGGGAGACTGCAAGCAGGGAGCTTTGAATTTGAACTTCCCCACAGGAAGCCCAACCAACATGTCATCCTTTACCATCCCTAGCCATCCCAAGCCATCCTTTACAATCTCTGGCCCCGTGACTCTCCCTCGCCAACCTGGACCCCCTTGCCTCCCTGCCCCCCTGGCCCCCTGGCCTCCCTGGTCCTCATGGCCCCCTAGGCCCCCTGATCCCCCTGGCCCCCTAACTCCCTGACCCCCTAGCCCCCTGACCCTCTCTGGCCCTCTCTGGACCCCCTGGCCGCCCTTGCTCTCCCTGGCCATCCCTAGCCATCGTTAGCCATCCCCATTCAGCCAATGGAGTATATACCAACAAATTCATAGTGGGAAGCCTGTGGCCGCCCTTGCTCTCCCTGGCCATCCCTAGCCATCGTTAGCCATCCCCATTCAGCCAATGGAGTATATACCAACAAATTCATAGCGGGAAGCCTGTGGCCACTGATGTAGCCACGTAGCCACGTAGCCACGTAGCCACGTAGCCACGTAGCCACCTTTAACAATATAGCCTATATATTTTCACTGGCTACTGGCTACTTGGCTAATTGGCCACAGGAATTAGCCGTTGAAATCCCCACAGGAAGACCAACCAACTCACTGATAAATTCAAAGTGGGAAGCCTGCATAAATATATATATATACATACATAGACCTTATTATTAACTACGATTTAATTACTACGTTCTCGCGGTTTGGGCTGATTACATTATGATGGTATTTCTGTTATTTTTTAAATTTGTTCACCGACAGAGCGATTTTCCTTCGCCTGTGAAAGAATAGCGCATGTCCATACAATTCCATTGTTTTCTATTAACTTTGACTGTTAGTCACTATTTGTACTTAGAAAACTCATTAATAATTCATGAAGAAAACACAATAGAAATCATGACCATGAAGGTGATTTTAAATCKGATAAAGATTYGTCTTCATTTGCATAAACTTTAACTTGGATTTTCTCTATCAAACTTGGTTCATTTCGTAAAAAAATCGGTACACAATGAGAACAAACATCATAAGTAATGTTTAATAAACGAGCAGGAGTGTTTTATCGGGTATAAAACACGAGGCGCAGCCGAGTGGTTTTAGACCCGATAAACCACGATCTGCGAGATTATTGAACGGCTTAGAAAACTTATGATGTTTGTTCTCATTGTGTACCGATTTTTTTACGAAATGCGAACCAAGTTTGATAGAGAAAATCCAAGTTAAAGTTTATGCAAATGAAGACGAATCTTTATCAGATATAAAATCACCTTCATGGTCATGATTTCTATTGTGTTTTCTTCATGAATTATTAATGAGTTTTCTAAGTTTTCTAAGCCGTTCAATAATCTCGCAGATCGTGTTTTATCGGGTCTAAAACCACTCGGCTGCGCCTCGTGTTTTATACCCGATAAAACACTCCTGCTCGTTTATTAAACATTACTTAAAATCCTTCTATGAAATACTATCTAGATCTGATAATGACATCTAAACATTAGTAATTAAATTTAAATAAGTTGTTGATAGAGCGATGCAGTGGAAGAGCGTATTTCTCGTCATATTCACTTTTCTCGACTAAATGGACGTCATGTGGAAAGTCTTATTTTTTACAAACACCACTGTTTCTTTTTTCGAGTTTAGCGTTAGGCGAACCTTAGTAATAAACCTGCAATTCTCTTTTTCCATTTCTTGTAGTGCCTTTAAAAACTCGGCGTCTGCAAATTCGTCRGACTTGCCTGGGTGATGACTGCTTGAAACACCTTTTTGTTATCATAGCACCAGGAAAAGGCAGCCGCAGGGCCACCTTGATGTTGTCGATCGTAGTTTGATCGATTCTTTTCTGGTTCCGTGCAGTACAAGTAGTAATTTCATCTATAAACTAATGTAAAGTAACAGCAATTAGAAATTGCGAAACTCTTTTTGGTTTAATTTCGATTTGTATAGACAAAAATAAACTTACAATCACTATTCGTTTTTGTGATTCAGCATAATCAAGAAGCAATAAAACACTCTGCACTGTTTCCAGACTAACGTCTTGCGATATGAGGTCGTGGCTTTTGTTCGCGAATAAATGGCTTAAGAAGAGAGATCATCAATCTGCGATGCAGTTGCGCCCAAGTATTTTCGTATTGCTTACTCACTTTTGCTAGTTTGGAAGAAGACATGTGTTTAAATTCAGCCCGCTGAGTATGATTCTGACCTTGGTTTGGTAGATTTTATTATTCAGTATGCAAATTAAAACGCTGCCCCGCAAGGAGGCAAAACAACGAATGCCAACACCAAAAAAATAATCCCAAAGGACAAGTTTGTAGAGTGATTCGTTAAGATTATAAAGAAACTATTAAACAAAAGGTATACTTTTTGGCATAATGAAACGCTTAATTTTGAACAACCTCAAAGATCAATGGAATCATCAGTTAATGAAGCGGAACGGTTTGGAAATTTCATAGAACAAAGCTATTGTTTTGCGTTTGAGGATGCCGTACCGTCACGTGATACTGACCGTGCACAATGAACCAAAGCAAGTACGGATGGAAATACTAATTTCCTTATTATTTTCATGTATGAACATTTTGAAAGTGAAAACTTTCATTCGATGAATAATATTTCCAAGCAGATACAGTTAAGTTACTAGATGATAAATAAGAAAGGATGAAAAAAGGCAATTTCCTTTTCAATAATAAACAACTAATATTAATCATATAGGATTAATTAACAAATAATAATTGTCTTATAACAATTTTTTAGGGAACAAAATTCTATTAGTTTCCTAATGCTGTGAACAAACAGAGCAGCTTTCCTTATCTGTGCACTTGACAAAATAATAATGGGAAGAATGCACTGCAAGTACTGTAAGCATTTTAATCATTATCTACAATGGGCCAACTGTGTTATTTGAAGCGAGCCCCCATATTGTATGGTCAGCGGTGTCATTCATAGTCTACGCAGGAGGTTCGTCAGATGACAAACATCCTTTTGTTTTGTAGGGCGTGCACTGGGTTGCCCAATGTGCTGGTATGCTGGACCTTTTTTAACACCTAATCTTTTTTATGTACCGCTATTTGGGGGGAAGTGGTACTATGGAATATTTAGGTTGTATTTTTTTCCAGAATTCCTTAATACTTAGCGAAATGTATTTACGGCCAAAGTTACCAGCTCTAATTACCGCGTAGTATTTAACGATATCTTTATGTATATGCCTTCAAGATTGAATAATGACTGAAAGCCGTATTTTCCTTTAGGCTCTACAGTTATCTATGAACACGTCATTCGAATCCATATATGGGTTCTCTTGCGCAAGAATGCACATTTCGCGATAAGGAGACTACAAAAAAACAAAGGCACTTACGACTGGGCTGCCACAGGCAACCCAGAAAAGAACCAAAGACATTGTACGACTGGGCACCACAGGCAAACCCCTAATTAAAATGACTTCACTCTAAACAAAAGAAGTAATACTCAAGGAAATGACACACAACGAAAAATGTTGCATGCCTTTTCACATTTCTCCGGATTAGTGTGGACAAAACGAGAAAGTTCTAAGTATGTTATTCATCTCACGTGCGTGACACTTTTAACATTTTTAAATGTCCATCAAAGAGTCACGTGTGATATGCATGAAATCACAGAGCGCGTGACTCCTGTGAATCATTTCAGTTCGACCTATACTACGTAGTTGAAGCAATCTCCAAAAATTTGGACAAAATGTCCTTTTGCGGAAGTATTTGCGACGCACTTCTAGAGTATAACACCTCTAAGATTGTTCTTATAAAAAGCAAAAAAGTAGGGCTTATAAATCGACTTATTCAGCTCGCTATCATATGCTATGTTATCGGGTAAGTTTGGACATCTTTTTAGTATTTTTTAGGCTTCGAAATACTGGTTCTTCAGGTTTCTTCGTCTTCTGTCGTTTGTTTTATCGTTTTATATAATTTTCTCTTGCTTTTATATATTTTATCTGAGGTAATTTTAGCGAAAGGACAAGTTAAATGAATGTTGTGAAACTACTATGATTGTGAAACCCCTATTTGAACTTCGATCTTTTTTTAATATATATTGTCCTATTCTACACATTTTCTGCAAAGGATCGTTATTATTATTGATTCTATAATTGATTTTGAAACTTTACGAGACTAGAATTTACTGGTATTACAAGATTAGTTGGTTCATGCTCAAGCTTTTTAGTTTGTACATAAAAATTGCATCTGGTATTGTTGACTTTAACTTTATTGTTCTTTATTTGAAGTCGACTTGAATCGCTTTTTTTGCTTTGAAATATAATTCTTTGTTCACTAATATTAATGGCCGTCATTATTCGTTTCTAGGTTTGTAATTATTTATAAAAAAGGTTACCAAGAGACCGAGAAACCATACAGTTCTGTCACAACTAAAGTCAAAGGTGTTTCATTCACCAACCTAACATTAAAGAGTGGGAAACAGTTTCCGTTATATGGTGGTCCTCATGTGTGGGATGACGCTGATTATGTTATTCCTCCCGAAGTAAGATTTGATAATTTACCTTCTATCTTTTTACCCTCTTTTCTTTTTCACTTTGTTTATTCTCATTTCCTTTCATCTCCACTCCTGTCTAGTTTATTCCTCTGCTCTGCTCTCCTTTTCATTTCCCATTCCTTCCCTTCCCTTCCCTTCCCTTTTTTTCCTCCTCCTTAAATAAGCATGTTCTTTGTATCAAACAATAAACGTGTGAATCCATCTTATCCATTCTCTAGGAAAATGGTGCATTTTTTATTGCAACAGACATGATAATCACACCAGATCAAACACAAAGCATATGTCCTGAAAGTCCAGACGTAAAAGGCGAAATATGTAGAAACGACAGTGAATGCCCTGCAAATCAGCCAACCCGATATGGTCATGGTAAGGAAGATTTAATTAGTTTTAGCAAAGTCACTAGTTGTTATTCTCACACATTATTTGGTTGATCCTGGTCAACTCTTTATGGATACTGGACCCTCTATTAGAATTGGGATGTTCTATACATGAAATAACCATTTTATAATCTGAAGGTTAACTTGGCTAAGCTCAGTCTGTGGTTATGTGGGAGGTTATAAGCTGGATAGGCCACTTTAGAAATGAGCAAGACACTGGGGCGATTTTTTAAGAATTCTGGCATCTATCTACCCATTCCATTTGTCTATCCATCCATCCATTCATCTATCTATTCATTCATTCATTTTTCATTTCCAGGGATAAGGACAGGCAAGTGTGTCCCGTATAATAAAACCATGAACACTTGTCAAGTGTATGCTTGGTGTCCTATAGAATCAGATGTCACTCCTATGCCGATATTCACCCCTAGCTTACCGTAAGTAGCAAACATCAAATAATAATAATAATAATAATAATAATAATGATAATAATAATTATAATGATAAATAATAGGATTAACAGTGGATTCCACAGAGTGGCTCTTCTTCCACTGGATTCCAATTGGAATTTAGAAGTTGATTTTTGTGGAGGGAGGAAAGGAGGGAGGAAAGCAGGAGAACCCTGAAAACCCAGTTGAAGCACAGGAGAGAACCAACAGCAACTCTCATTATCAAATTTAACCACACAAGTAATAATCAAAATGAATACTGTATTATCCAATGGACTACTTCCACAATACAGTGACCATCTTGGATTGCAAGGCATTTTGGGGTGTCCAGGGAAATAATGATCATCACTATCATCATCTGTGAACATTTTTTTTTCTGACTTTAAACACAGAAAAGGAAAACCTCTACTAGATGCAAGAAATTTTACAGTATTAATCAAGAATAGTGTGCAGTTTCCAAACTTTAAAATATCCAAGTAAGAAATGTTTAAAAATAACTTGAAATAGTAGTCCTACCCAAGTTTTTTTTCAAGCTTTAGGGTTACTCAATTGTTTCTTTAGTGGGCTACCTGTGGTAAATATTATTTATGTGGCTGAAAAGGACTATAAGAGCAAGGCATCCTCTCCCCAGACCCCTTTTTCCACCTTTAGGACACAGGGATCCAAAGCATGAAAAAGTTTAAAAGAAGACGTTTGCATGAATTTAGCTGATGTCTGTTTGTGCTGTTGTCATTCTTAGGAGAAATATTGACTCAAATGCAGACTCGAAGACACTGAAGAATTGTATGTACGATAAGAAAAACTCTCCGCTTTGCCCTATATTCAAACTACAAACCATTGTAGAAGATGCAGGGGAGAACTTTACTCAGCTTGCCTTTGAGGTATGTCTGCATATGTGTTTATAGAATTTTTCTCAAGGTTCTTGATTTAAATCCCATAAAAATTGCCATTCCCAGCTCAATCCCATCTGTTTCCATTCCCATCTCAATCCCATGCTAATTCTATCCAGTTTGAATTCATTATTCCTTTTACTACCTATCATTTATAACGTTTATAGTAATAGATTCTTTATATGGGCAATTATTAACCAATTGACTGATCAAGGTGAGTAACAATAGCAATTTTCTTTTCTTCTTCGGCAGGGTGGAGTAATGGGAATCATTATTAACTGGCAATGTGATTTTGATTCTCTGTCATACTCATGTGAACCAGTCTATTCATTCAGAAGGTATGCATAATTACATTACATTACATTACGGTATGTGACGAAAGCTCATGGGACAGAGTCATTCCCCAACTGGCTGAAAATGACCAATACCTTAGCTGGGAGGTTTGGTTTTGCATATGACTTTTTGCTACTAGCCTCTAAGATTCAGTCTTATTTCACACTTTTAGTCTTATTCATACAAGAGTTTCAAATCTAAGACCACCCGTCCTAGCTACCACCCCTTGCTGAACACACACACATACCCCAACATTTTTGGTGCTCAGCAATGCTTGCCAAAGGTTTAAGGTAAAGCTGCTCTTAATTTTGCTCCCGATTCTCCATGGCTAATGGGATTTAAAATAATAAAAAATTGATACTCCCAATTACTAATATTTATCATCCTGATACTGTAACTCGGAAAGGTTTAGAGACAAAATGTTTCAATACAGCTTCTTTATCTCTTCCAACCAACAGACTTGACGATGCTCATGCACCTATTGCAGGTGGTTATAACTTTAGGTAAGTGAATATGATCACCACTATCTATAAGATTTGAAGAACAGGTTATATTGGGGACAAGGGACTAGGGACACTTGGTAAGGAGTATTCTTGATTGAAACGATGGATTCTGGACTGCTACAGGCAGTCTTACTCCTTGGACTCATGAGGTTTAGCCCTCTAATGAGTTAACAACTACCATCATCATCATCATGTTTAAGGCAATGTCCCAGTATTTTCACTACAGCTGATGATATACTTTATGGTTTGCAGACATGCTAATTATTATGTCAAGAATGATACTCTCCATCGAACATTATTCAAGTCTTATGGCATTCGTTTTGTTGTCACAGTGATAGGACAGGTAAAATAAAACTTTTAATGAATGAATGGGATTAACGAATTTAAATGGAATGAATAGATGGATGAATGAATGTATGGGATGGAATGAATGAATGAGTGGATAGATGAGTGAATTGGATGGGATGGGAAGAATGGGATTGAATGAATGAATGGAATGGATGGGTGGGTGGGAGGTAGATAGATAGGCAGATGGTTGTCCCAATGATAGTAAAGTTAAGATCTTTAGTTAATGAATGAATGAATGAATGCATGAAATTGGATGGGATGAATGAAATGGGATGAATGAAAATGGATGGCATGATAGACAAATAGTTGAATGGTTAGATGGGTTGAAAGGAAAAAAAGAAACTGAAATTTTTTTTTTTTTTTTCCAGGGAGGCAAATTTAGCGTAATACCTTTGTTTCTTAACTTGGGTTCAGGCTTGGCTCTCTTAGGAATCGTGAGTACAGATCTGAAATGTGTGATACTACAACAGTGGTACTACTACTATTTAATGGTAGCACACTCACCTCTGAAGTCTCGATCAGGAATGATTCCAGATTCCAGATTCTTCATCAACAAGAGTTTGTTACATCTCTCCCTTGATGCATTTATTCATTTTTCTCGCGAGGGGTGGGGTTGAATTTTTCTTYCTCTGCAAAACGTCACATGCTAAATTTTAAACTTGATCTTTGTGTTAGTCATGCAATGACCTTTATTAGCACAGCACAGGTGGCTTTACAGTTCAAAGTCTTATATTTTATCATCTCGAAATATTATTATCTAGTAACATGATGTTATTGTTGAAAGAATTCCATGGAATTTATTTGAGGTTCAACATTTACTTTATAGGCTACAGTCTTATGTGACATAGTTGTCCTGTATGTACTAAGAAGAAAGAACTTCTACCGGGAAAAGAAGTATCAGTATGTAACAGAAAACACAGAGCAAGAGGTAAGGATACCACAAGAGTAACTTGTAGCTTGTTTTTTCTTCTTCTTCCATTTATGCATGGCACACATTATCACAGGACATATTAGCTATAGACTGACTCTCAACCATACTTCACAGCCCAGTTGGTAAAGCCAGTGGGATTCTCAGTAGAACATTGGACTAGAATTGCGCTGGCTCTCAATGAGGCTTCTGCAGAGCTCACTAATGGTAGAGCATTGCACTAGTATAGCCTTAAAAGTCACATAATCCATTCCTGTTAAACTCCCAATTTTTTGCTAGACTTTTTTACTTGATAATTGTTTAGTAGAAGTTAATTCTTTCACTGTCACACCCAATTTAAGTTTTTTTAATTATCTATTCACACACAGTTCATGTACGTGTACAAGTACATTGTATTTACCATAATAAGTTGTGTACCTTTGATAATTCTGTTGTAAGTATTTTGTGTTTGTTACTTTTTCAGACATTCTTTAACAAATATGGCAGCACTCCTTAGATGTGTAAATTGGAATAATAAACTTGGAATTCACATTTAGTCGAACCTTACAAAACCTGGCAAACATGTATCCTTGGTAACCAGATATTGACAGGAAACTCCTCCATCCCCTCCCCCTCCCCCTCCCCCTCCCCCCAAAGGGAAGAACACAGTGAAAGATAAAGAGTGAAGTGACAAAGCTAATGTTTGGTAATACACAGTCATGGTGAAAGACGAAAGACAATCGAAAAGAAAAGTCACTTCCTAATTTAATATTAAGACATAACCCATCGGTTGGTTTGTTGCTTGCTGTCTTTACTTTCAAGTTGAAGATGGTTAGTATTCAATAAAATAGACCTATCCCGAATTCGCTTGACTGACCACGAATCAATGGTTTGAATGGTTCTTTTATTCATCAAGTTCAACCTCGACTTGAAACCATTGTTTCGTGACCAGTCAAGCGAATTCAGGATAGGTCTATTCCAGATATTTTAAATGCAATTAAGAAAAAAGCACTCTTATGATTCAAAATCTTAGTAAATGGTCTCCTATACATGTACCATAGTTATTAGAGGCTTGCATAAAATTAGGGTTTCAGTGCCTACCAAAATGATCTCCACAAGTTGCATAGAAATCTAGGAAAACTTGCAATTTATTAACTTAAAATATGATTTTATAGTATTGAAAATATTTAGTTCTTAATAAAAAATAGTCAATAGCTTACTAATTGATTGTCTTCCATTATCTGTCAATGGCCTGGTCTCAGCCCTATGAGTCACTTAGGTGTAATGGGATGATGATGATTATTATATATCTATTTATTGTATTTTAACTCACAAAAGTATACATAGCTAGGTATATCGGCAGATGTTGGTGAGGTAATTTCTGCAGTGTAGGAATTACAACACTACGGCTGTTCGCTGACAACATGTGAAAACAGCAAATTTGGTTTCATGGTTTTTATTTTTACCAGACAATTCAATTTATTATTTTTCTGAAATATTTGTCATTTATCTGCAAATACACATGGTATTCTATACGAATTATCTGCTAAATTTCTCTCTCATTGTTGGCAAACACTTGTAGCAATGGAATATGACTCGACTTGCCAAAACTGTCTTATCATATCCTTTTTTTAGTGTGACCTGTTGTACCATGTTTTGCTGTCTGCCATACACCCTGCTTATTCACCATAGTTTACTGTCCTCTCACTATGGTTTACTGTCCTCTCACTCATTAGCCATAATTTACTTTACTCTCACTTATTTGCAATAGTTTAATGTCCTCTCACTCATTTGCCATGTCTAGCCATTTTAACCATAGTTTACTGTCCTCTCACTCACTTGCCATGGTTTACTGTCCTCTCCCTCATTCACTATACTTTACTGTCCTCTCACTCATTTGCCATGTCTAGCCATTTTAACCATAGTTTCCTGTTCTCTCACTCATTCACTATACTTTACTGTCCTCTCACTCATTTGCCATAGCTGGGCCAGTTCTAACGGTCGGAGGTGCTTCTTTGATAGTTAACACATCACAGAGAATCTTTACAGCCGGGGTCTCCTGGTTGATTTCCTTGAATATGTGTGTCTGTGCTGCTTGTATCTTTAATACTAAAGACCAATTGAAATATGTCACATGAATAGGGATACGACTCAAACAACGAATATTGTTCTCATGAGAATGACATGTCTGAAAAACAAAAACATTAAGCACAAGGCAAAGAGGTCTATAAGACCCTTTGCAGTGCATCCAAATGCAGCTCAATTAGGTGGACATAGAAATAGCCTTCCAATTCTTGTGTTATTGAAATTATTTTGCTTTGTCCTCCAAATTGAGCGGCTTTGTCATCATGTGCAAGGGGTCAATTACCTTGATTAAGTTTAGTCACCAGTTTTATTAAGACCTTTTCATGTTACAAGAGAAGGTTAGCATGTACCTACATGTCATACCTGTTATTAGAGTTAAGCCTGCTGTCATATATTCTTTMGGTTTTGGGGCCATCACAGTAAAGCTATAGGGGTAAATATGATATAAACGGCTGTTAAAGACTTACATTGGTCTGCCTTTGAAGTGCCTCTGCTGAACTGTTCATTGTCTTCTGTAGTGTTGTTGACTTCTTCTTGTCCTTCCTATATGCATAACAGTAGAGTAGCTGAGTACGAACTCATTGATCRCAGTCAATCGAATCAATTGATCAAAGTTAATGGACAAGTTACGCTAAGGTCACATACCTAACCCCCTCAAGCAAGGAGTTTTGTCAAAATGAACCCACAAACGAAAAGAGCACCTCAATATTAGTGAAAAGTAGGTTCTTCAGTAAATAGGGGAACTGGATGCATTTTTTACCTGTGATAGACTGACTGATGTAACATGGTCTGTAAGGAGCTGCAAAACAGCTTTGTTTTGTTCTAATATGGGTAACAATGGTTCCAAGTCTTCCTCTGCTATTAGAGAGACCAGGTGGCAAAGCGTGTTACATAACTGTAGACATAAGATGAGGATATGTTTAAGCACAGCATATGTACATTAAATAGAAAAGCAGAGTGGATTACTGGTTTTTGAGAGTGAAATAACAAGATGTGGTTGCATGTTGGTTGATATAACAAAAGACACATTGGTCATGTTGGTTGACAAATATTTTGTTAAATTTAACTAACATGGTGCCTATGGAAACCAGGATTTTTTTGAGTGTCATGTAGAAAAACTCACCTGCTCACGAAGATTGTCACGATATTTGAATTCAGAGAATTCTGTCAAGGTGTTGCTTGACTCAAGAGCTTTGAATAATGCATCAATAATACCAAGAAACTGATTGGCATCACCATAACAACGTCTAGCAGAGGGGATGGAAAGGGAGAGTACTGCATTGATACGAACCTAGAAAGATAAAATATCAAGTACATAAAAATGTAAAAGGCTAACCAATAAACATCCAAAATACAGCAACTGCAATAGCATCAACAAACGTTGCAACAACAACAACAGCAGCAGCAATAGTAGTAGCAGCAGCAACAAATACAACAGCACCAGAATCAGAAGAACACCATAAACAAGAGAAGGAACAACAGCACTGACAAAAGCACTAGCAGGAATAACAGCATAACAAGCAGTCAGCAGCAAAAAGAACAAACATTTATTTCACTCTGAAAATATACAGTTCTGTCGTTGAAGTCAAACCTTGAAGTTTTTACATTCCTTGATGACGTTTGTCAGTGCAGTGTAGACATCATGCTGTTGAAATGGAATTGTGTTACGTGAAAGGAAATCCGATCTTATTCCCCAAAAAATATCATAGAGTATTGGGTCTATTTCTTTACCTACTCCTCCCATATCAGTCACTCCTTTTTGGACAAAAGAAATTTGTTGGGGGGGGGGGGGGGATAGGGGATAGAGAATGGAAGGGGTGTGGTAATTGGTTCAGGTTCGATCCCTGGACTCATCATTACATGAGTAAAGTTGCTTGTTGGTTCTCTCCCCTGAGGGTTTTTTGTCTGCATTCTCCAGTTTCCTTCCCTGTCACAAAAACCAACATCTAAATTTCAATTCAACCATGGAATGAGTACCACAAGTTTTTTAGCCACTGGTTATTAATTTGGTAAAACGACGGCTGTTTCTTTTATATTGAGGGCATTTTTCTCCTGAATACTTACAGTCCACGTAGCTGTGCCAATGGGAAGTGACGTATTGCGGAACACGTTGCCGATCGCATAACATGCATTCCAACGAACCTACAGAAAAGAACAAGGATTTCCCCCTTTATTTTTGTATGGACTGGACTGGACTTTTTTCAGTTGTATGCGCGACTCACCTACCTTCATTAATCCTGTTGCAACGTTTGCTATCAGAGCTTGCACAGCTTTCTCTACGCCTCGCGTGAAACCTCGTTTCTCTGGAACAAAACAAACGAAAGTTAAGATTTTTTAATCTTGATTTACTAGTAAGATTTAAAACCAAAAGTATTGAAATTCATGTTTCAGAACTGTCGTGGTAAAGTCTATATCATTATAACTTTCATAAATAAATAGCTTTTTCTCTTCTTACAATCACCTTCGTACGCCTTACATTTCCACCGAGAAAGCAAACACGTTTTTAGCGCAGTGTTCAATATTTGACATGGATATACGAGTAGCTTACCTAACGTAGAAGGTTTGACATAGTTCAAGAAATTCCCTAAGGCCCGCACAGCGTTCGACTTCACCTGATATGATTAAAAACACGAAGACTGAATAAAAGAATTGATACGACAACACAGAGTCCGTTATTATTTTCCTTGGTTCGTGATGAAATTTTGTACATCCGTTGAGCCAATCACAGCCAGTGTTAATCCTATCAGAATAGCCGGTCATGGCACGAAGAGCGGAAATGATCGTCGTATCTTTTAGGGGCGAATAAGACAAAGCTGTTTGTTTTAAATAATTTATCTTATGTTTCAAAGTTTTTTGGGGGGGGGCTTAAATTAAAGCAGGACCCAAACCCAAACTCTTTTAGAGGTTAGATTTATTTTTCAATGATCATTTTTAGATGGGAGTACCCCCCTCCCCTCGAGGTTCGCAGTAACGAGAAATGTGTTCAGTCTAACTACTGATGGTTCAGGAACCTTACCTTTTCATGGTCCTCACTAGCCTTGATAGCTAACTCAAGCAGCCTCAATAACAACATATCAGAGAAGTCCTCTATGAAGGTAGAATCTTGAGATGATCTGCCAAAATAATTCAGTAGGACATCAGTCAATATTAATATTGTGAGAATACTCGGGACGATATTTCTAAGAAGTTTTAAAGAACATTGTATGACATCTAACACCGTACATAATATTGCCAGTTATCTTACGTAAATTTGCCTTCAACTTTGACCACCCAAAAAATTCAATGTAGGGTACGGTGAAGATGCAGTGGAGATGCAATCAAGATGCGGTGATGGTGTGGTAAAGGCATCACATCACAGGTAAAGGTGTGGTGTGGTGAAGGTGAGGTGAAGGTGAGGTGAAGGTGAGGTGAAGGTGAACGTGCGGTGAACGTGGGGTGAACGTGCCTTGAAGGCTCGGTGAAGATGCCATGGAGGCACGGGACAAGCCGTAGCAACAACTCCCTCGTGTAACAATGCATTTGCGTAACTGGGACACTCACTTGTTTGCTACCAGCGTGTCGCTAAGGTTTCCTAAAGACCAAGCAGCCCTCATCCTGACAGCAAGCGTCTGATCCTCCATGCACGTTAGCACAGAATTGGCAGTGTCAGCCACGTACAACACGTCTTCACGAAGACACGGGTAAAGAACCAGCACGCCGACGGCACGTACTGAAGACGCCTTTGAGTGAGAAAGGGACCCATATACCTCTCAATCAATGCTCCGTTTAAAGGTATTTAATGCTATCGTTACACGGAAAGAGCAAAGTCGAAGCATGTGTCAGAAGTCACTGGGGAAAGACTAGCCAACTTAGTCACGCACAGTCACACAACTTAGCGACTAAGTCACGCTTACTTTTGTTCCCATTGAGTTTTCTACCATGTTCCACTTTGCTACTTTCATATTCATTGTGGTTTGCACATGCTCACGTGACGGTCACCATGTTGGATGACAAGAACAATAAATGCAATAAGTAATTCATTTCCTCAGGGAGAAAATAGATTGTATTGGCCTATCATCCAACATGGCTGCTTTTATGCAATTACGTCAATAATCCGCAAATTGATTGGGAGACGTTTTTCACCTTGACATTCTTGTCTTCATCATTACACAAGCCCAACAACATCGTGATGCACATTATACGCTTGTCTTCCTAAAATATAATAAATATGATAAATACGCAAGAAAAACTGTATAATTTATTCCCAAGGAATTGCGCTATTTCATAATGACGTCACATCAAAACAAACTATTGTTTTAACGCTAGGGATCATGGTCGCTGGAGGGGGATGGAGTGACAACACATCTTAAATCACAATGAAATTTGGTTTATGAGCTGGTGAAGGCAAGAACAACTAAATATTACGCTAAATATCTCGAAAGAGAATTAAGCTTAAATTTAGCCTACATTTCTATCATAGCCGATGTAGACAAACCGTGACGTCATTATGAAATAGGGCAATTGAGCTCACAACTGACAAAGAACAGAAATATTTCATTAAGCCCCGTTTACACTAGCGATTTTTTTGCGATTTTTGCTGTGATTTTTTTGCGATTTTGTCCATAATAAATAATGGTAAAGAATTTACTTGTAAAGTTTTTTTTAGGATACCAAGATTTTCCTAGACGAATGTCTCTTTTGAAGGATGAGACAAAAGATTTCATATTTCCGAAAATTGCCACAAAAATCGCAGCAAAAATCGCCAGTGTAAACGGGGCTTTAGACTACTAACCGGTAGAATCTCGAAGATACTAGCTCCAATATTAGATAAGCAATCTATAGCACTGCTTATGAGCTTGGAGTTTGTGCCTTGAAGGATGGTGATAAGAGGTCCAGTCAGGAGTCCCAGCCAGAACTGTAGTAGCTAGGAATAAATACGATAGGAAATTAAGGGCAATCGCATTTTTAAAATTGTTATATTATCTAGGAGCTAAAGCACATTCTTCCTTTTTTCGAGTCCTTTTGGTCATCAAAATGAAAAAATTTTCCCCGGAAAAAAATTGGTTAAATTTTACTTGAAAACTCTCTAAAAGCTTCCGTGTTTGAGCAACTGAACGTGATTGGTTAACAGTGCACTTTGGTGCTTTTTGATTGGTTGGGGGACTTTTGACTAACAGTCAATATACTGTACTTTCTTCGCGGTATATAATCACAATTCTGAGCGTTGTAAACCCAAAATATTACCTGATCTTTAGACACCAAGGCTTGAACATCTCTAGCATTCGCTTGATCAGGAAGAAAGGAATACATAGTTTTACCCAGTTCTTGAAGAAACTGCCATAAAAAATAAAGTGTTTTTGTTAGTATGCAGCACGGAAACACTGCCTTGGAAAATATATGGTTTTCACGATTTTTTTGAGATTCATTGTTCACCTTAATAGCTAGTAGTGCAATGGCTTGATCTTCGTCTAGGCATTCACACACATGGTGTGTTAGATTCGCTGTGTATGGACTAAATAAAAGTGGAAAAAGAAGTGAATTATCTTAAGACAGGTTATATCATAAAGGACAAGATAGAAGACTTTTAACCAAAGCAAAATGAAAAAACCCAAAGAATAAACAAAGAAAACCAACAAACAAACCAACACTAAAGTAAAAATTACAACTCAAACCAAGAAGCGCAAAAACAAACAAAACAATGATGGAACGAACGAACAAAAACAACCAAAAGAACGTAACAAACGAAAAAACATACAAACGAACACACGAACACACGAACGAACAAACGAACGAACAAACAAACAAACAAACAAACAAACAAACAAAAAAAAACAAAAAATCTCACTTTATAAAAGCGAAAGAAATTTGCGTTTATTCAGTAGGGGAAAAAACCTTTGACTATTTTTGAACAAAAAAATACCAATGAAAAAGGTTAAGATTAAAGATTTTTACCTTACGAGACTAAAATAATTCCTAACAAATGCTATCAACACTTGAAGGGCTTCCACGCGTACAACCAATGGCTGTCCTTCTCTACCGCGTTGCTTARCGACGGAATTAACACATAACTGAACCAGCCACGGGCAGYCATCTTGGAWTACAGAACACGTGGTATCTGATGACGTAGATGCCGTACGATTGGAGGAAGATTCACCGATATCTCCTTGTGTGGATCCCGTAGAGTCCTCAGTATTTGCCSTTGGCTTCTCATCTGTGCTACCTTGGGATCCCGTAGAGTCCCCGGTAGTTGACGTTGGTTTCTCATCTGTGCTACCTTGGGATCCCGTAGAGTCCCCGGTAGTACCCGATGGGTTCTCCTCCCGGTTCGGTGGTTTGTTATCAATGGATGGGTTCATGAGTTCGATGACCTCATTTAAAGGAGCGTGTACTGATACTATCATTCCTAGACATGTTAACGCTGACACACGAAAGTTGAAGTCTGTAAAAACAAACAGCACTTAGTTAACTTTAAGTTCCACTTCGTTAAAATATACTTCGAATTTCATCGATGGTTTTGCGGAGGAAAGAAAATCAAAACACCCTGGACACTGAAAAACCCTAATAAACTTTACTCAGATGTGTTCCTAGTCCACACGGATCTAAACCAAGATCCCCCTTGATTCACTCCCCCCCTCCCCCCGGGGATTCACTATGTATAGACAAATTATTATAATCTATAAATAAGTACCATTAGAAGTGATCATTGGTCGGATCTGGTTAACAACACGGGTTAGTAACCCAGCTCTCAGCCTGTTGTACGGACTGTTCAATATCAGGACAGACAGRCACTTCATTAAGTGGAGTTTCGTCGAAGATGAAGTTTCGGCTAAGACAGCTTGGAGAAGATGTCGGTGGATCTCGTGGATCGTTGCACCAAGGCGACCAGAGAATGAAGTGAAGGGACGGGCTGATAGCACCGCACTTTTCTCGTCTCTGAGGAATAAAAAATGTACCGTATGTCGGATGATGAAAAACATTTGATTATATGAAAATGATGACGATGAGTGACGAAGGTGCTGTTAATGATATCGTTGATGAYGATGTTGGTGCTGATGATGATAATCATTATGGCTGATGATACTGCTGATGTTGTTGTTGATGTTGACTTTTATTATAATTAATGTTGATTGACAATGCTGTTTGTTTTTGTCGTCATTGATGACGATAAATGATGATTGTATTGATGATGGTGATGATAAATGATGATGATGGTGATGAAGATGACGGTGGTGATGATGGTGATGAAGATTATGGTGTTGATGATGATGATATGATGATGATGATGATAGTGATGGCCATGATACCGATAGTCTTACCGATCATCGGCCGCAGCGAGGAACTGCCGAGATCGATCCAAGAGTTCGCACAGCACTGCAACACCTCCTGCTCGGGCCTAAAGTAAACCAAACGCTAATGTCATCGCTAATCCTTCTTTTACGTACATACAGCGTAACCTAAATAACAAGTTTTCTTTTTTCTTTGTTTGTCGCTTTTTTCTTCCTTCCTTTCTATTTTATTTTCTCCTTTGTTTATATATTTTTCACATAAACGGATATTTACCCGTGGAGAAGGATCTCGCAGTATGGTTGTAAATAACGACCATGTTGTACCAGAACCAGAGTCAGGAATAAAAGAAGACCAGTAGCCAAACAACACTTTCTTCTCCATTCCCTGTTGTTATTTAATAAAGCAGATTTATGAATCGTGGCTTCTTGCTAGCTAACACCCTTCGTGTCTTAATGTCAGCGCTTCACTTACAAGGGTGAATCAAGGATTGCATAGTTGTAGTACACTTGCCTCTCACCTCTGGAGTCTCTGGTTTGATTACTGGACTCAACATCACATRTGAGTAGAGTTTGTTAGGGTATTTCTCTGGGTTCTCCTGGTTTTTCCCCTCCACAAAACCAAGTACGCAAATCGACTCTATGTGGAAGCATCTTTTCAAAGGCTCATGGTGTGTCAACGTAGCCTGCGTAGCGGCGCTTTGGGGAGGGGGTTAGGGGACTTTCCTCCTCACAAATAGTATAACCTTTACCTTAACCACAGTTTCCAAACAGCTCAGCGCATTCTGCCTTACTTTAGTTGTTAAAGATCTGAAAAAGGGGAACATTTCATCACTGAAATCGTTCTCAAGTAGATTACAGTGTAAACTTTGCAGTACAGACGTGCCGTGTCATATAAGCGTGTTATAGAAGGGTGACCTACCGTAACCTAGCAGCCTGGCCAGCTTCACTATCCGAGAAGTCTGAGTCTGAACTTGTTGCTGAGACTCCCTCTGAGCCGCTTGTATAACCAGCAGTTTCCCGCGCAGCTGTAGTTTCTTGTACTGCTACTTCCGGTTTTCCTCTACTTTCACTTCCTTTTAAATTCTCATCACTTGAAGTAATTTTACTCTCAGGAAGGGCCGCTTTTGGTGAGGGGTCCTTAGATACACTGGTCTTCGCAAAAGAGGGCATTAAAGCATCCACTGATGAAAAGTCCCTTCTGAATTTAGGCCCTGTAGGTGGGGCATAATTAGAGGCGTGAGGAGCGTACCCTCTGTTTTTGTGCCCTGTCCGTTTTTTCTTTTTCTTGTTCGTCAAGGCAGCGGCATTTTGATAGGAGAGGGATTTGGGAGACGTGTTGAGGTTGATAGACGAAAGGTCATCTGCATGTATTCCTGCCAAGGATGGGGAAAAAAATATAAGAATGTGAATATAAATCCATGATACAATTGATGGTTTTCACAGCCTCCACTTAAACCCTGTGTAATAGTTACAAACATGGTGTTACCTTCTTGTGCAAAAACATTAGGTAAGATAAAGTATGATGAACCAATTAACCTACCCATTTCCGATGGCTGCTTCAAGCTGCTTCTTTCAGTAAAGTTTGGCTGATATCCTGGAAGACCACAGAATATACAATTCTGTAAAGAAATACAATAGAAAGTTTATCAAATTACTTTTATTTTATTTCTCTCTTCAAGTTGATAACAGCTAAGAATGTGGGTCTGCCAATTTCCACAATTGGTGGAAGGGTGTTGGTAGGGTGTTGGTAAGGTGTTGGTAGGGTGTTGGTAAGGTGTTAGTAGGGTGTTGGAAGGGTGTTGGTAGGGCGCTGGTAGGGTGTTAGTAGGGTGTCAGTAGGGTGTTGGTAGGGTGTTGGTAGGGTGTTGGTAAGGTGTTGGTAGGGTGTTGGTAGGGCGTTGGTAGGGCGTTGGTAGGGCGTTGGTAGGGCGTTGGTAGGGTGTTGGTAGGGCGTTGGTAGGGTGTTGGTAGGGCGTTGGTAGGGTGTTGGTAGGGCGTTGGTAGGGTGTTGGTAGGGCGTTGGTAGGGTATTGGTAGGGCGTTGGTAGGGTGTTGGTAGGGTGTTGGTAGGGTGTCAGTACAGTGTTGGTAGGGTGTCAGTACAGTGTAGGTAGGGTGTTGGTAAGGTGATAGTGGCTAGGTAGGGTGTCAGTACAGTGTAGGTAGGGTGTTGGTAAGGTGATAATGGCTTTGTAGGGTGTCAGGACTATGTGGTAGGGTGTTGGTAGGGAACCAGTAGGGTGTTGGCCAACAACCTTAACCTGCCAACATCTTGATGACATCACACCGGCAACAATTCAGTCACCAGGTTAATATTTTTGAATATTTTACCCCAGCTAGGGAAGTATAGTGTTTTTTTGGGTTGATAGACATTAATACCTTCAAAGCAGCTAGGAGAGGTTGCTCAAATTCTTTTTTAACAACAGGAACAGCTGCTTGAATAGTCTGGAAAGACTTTAATGCAGCCAAGACCAGCTAAAATGAAAAAGAGTCACCATCATCACCAACATCATAATCATGATTATTCATCACCATTGCCACCTCAATCACAATCATCACCATCATCATAACTATCATCATCATCCATCATCATTATCAACATGATTATTCATCACAATCGCCACTGCAATCAAAATCATCATCATTATCCATCATCATCATGATTATAGTCATCATCATCATCATCAGTTATCATCACCATTATCATTAACATCAACAGCCATCATAACTATCATCATCAACATCATGATTATTCATCACCATCGCCACTGCAATCACAATCACCACCATCATCATAACTATCATCCATCATCATCATCATCCATCATGATTATTTATCACCCTGCCACTGCAATCACAATCATCATTATCCATCATCTTCATGATTATAGTTATTATCATCATCATCTGTTATCATCACCATTATCATTAACATCAACAGCCATCATAGCTATCATCATCATCATCATCTACTGATTACACACCCTATAATGAGTGATCTGATCCATCTTCTTGCTTGGTATAAACCTTATAGTATTCATTATTATTTCAAATGATCTGTCCAAATATTCCTCATCCACAAAGGTTCCACCAGGTCCTCTGCAAAAGAGCAGTGACGGGATATTATAAATCTAGTTTAAGTCAACTGATACTGCTAAGCTAGATAATTAAGTAATGTTCAGTCATCTTTACTTTCCTATTCTTTTGTTTAATTTAATAGTCAACAAATGGAGGGGATAACCTCTATTAAGTAGCCCTCTATTTAGTATCAGTATTTTGAACATTTTTTATTTGGCCACTTGACAATTCCCCTGCTGCATATAATATAAGTTCTATTGTATGACATACGATTTTTACAGGCTGCAATAACCCTAAAGGCTTACTTAGAGGAGATATTTGCAACACAACTGATAGCTTTGCACTTGATATCCACATCCCATTCAGGACCTTCTATGAATCCAGTCAGCAAGCCTTCAGGAACAGGTGCAGTGAGAGTGGAAAGAAACTGACAAAATGGGAAGGAGAGATGGATGGGATTAGACGAGTAGGTATCAAAGAATCAGGGTGTAAAATTAAAATATAATAGCCAAGCAAACAGTAAATAAAATTATTACGAAATGAAAATGCAAAAAAGGGAATAAGAGAAAGTAAAATAAATGCAATAAGATAAAATAGTGAAACAAAATTTGCGATAATATTTAATATTATCACCTGACTATTATGATGTCCAGCTTTCTTACCTTGCTACACATCGGACCACTACTACACAGAACAGCATCTAGCGACCTCAAATGATTGATTAATGCCCACTTTTGACAGCATTTAATAGATCCCGTCAGAAATCCAAGAAGTGCATCACAAGTACTTTGCGTAATAATCACCTTTTTATTGCATGGGAAATCAATCAAAAACATTTATAAGCAAACTAGTAAGGAGGGCTTTTGACTTTGTTTCAAGAGTGGGACAGGGGTACATTTGATGATAAGAAGGGGTGCAGAGAGGTAGAGGATCTTAAYGCATCAAGGCAAGTGAGGGTCAGCTGAGTAATTCACATGATAATACCTTTTGTCTTGATARTAAATTAGAAATTAGTTGACATAGCTTTGTGGCCAGTAAGTCATTGGTACCATTTCCAGGAACAAGTGTACAGCACTTTGACAASACCTGGCAAGCCTCCTGGAAGTATACCCAAAAGACAAACATAATGAGGGGTAATCTACTATATTAGCCTTATGTGCCTTCAGCTAGCTAGCTAGAAGAGTGATGATGAATACATCATTGTTTCAAAGTTTGATAAGTGAGTTAGCAATGACCTGACTTAGATCAGTACAGAAGTTGTTTCAGGGTTGGATCTGTGAGTTAGCTGTGCCCTGACTTTGATCAGCCCAGAGGTTACAAGTTTCAGGGTTGGATCTGTGAGTTAGCCATGCTCTGACTTTGATCAGCCCAGA